TATAAAAATACAATTGTTTATTGTGTGGTTCCCTGACTTATTTTTCCAAATGCTTAAATATTGGCAACTGTGATTGGTATCCCTTTTACTTCTTCTCTGCTACATGTTGTTTTAGTACAGCGGGGTTCCCCTACTAAAGGCCACTTTCCTATGGGGTGGCTACAGTTCCCTCTAGATTCCCCAAGAGTTGCCTACCTGTCTTAGTCTGTTTTATGTTGCTGTAACAAAATACCTGAGACTGGATACTTTATGAAGAATAAAGATTTATTCATCTTGTGGCTCTGCATGCTGGGAGGTTCAAAGTTTTGATTCCCTGCAGAGTCCTGAGGTGACTCTGGACATGACGTGGTCAGAGGGTTACTGTTGATAGCCACAGTTTAGTCAGAATGACGCCTGGCATTTTTGCCAAAGGGAATGGTTGAAAGGTGACCCCGCTCTGGGATTAGAGCGGCTCTGGGATTAGGGTGGCTCCAGGATTAGGGCGGATCCTGCTGCCCTAATCCCACTACTTTGGAGTTCTCGCTGGGTTCTGGGAGAATAGGCGAGCAGAGGCCGGTGGAGGGAGTGTGTTCCTGGGAAGTGGGTGTAGAGTGCTGGTGAGAGTTCGGGAATAAAGGTTGCTGTTTGAACCTACAAGGTGGTGTGGTGGCTCGGTTATTTTGTGCCCAGCCAGACTGCGGCAGGTTACATGTGAGACAGAACCAAGCTGGGGTTTGTAATAGCTCTTGAGATGACCCATTAATTCAGGAATCGCTTCTCCATGCATGAAGGCTCAGTACTTAGCTCTTTCAACTCCCACCTCTGGATACCTCGTGATGGGCACCAAAGTTCAGCATTGGGTTTGGTGGGGACATTCAAACCATAGCGCCTCCCTTGTCCCCCTTGGTACCTGGTGGTGATAAACCCCCAAGCTGGCCACCCCAGGCAGCTTCATCCTTTTTGCTCCCTTAACATGGCCTATGCTTGGTAAGTAGCCCCTGCATTAAACACCCCTCTGGCTTCCTTGTGAGCACCAGCTGCTTTGTGATGAGGCCTCATGCTGATTCTGCAACAAGTTGAAATTTCTTAGAAACTCTTCACAAGCCACTCACACAAACCTGCCACCCTTTTGGACCACAAACTCCAGCACCTCGGTTTTAGACACAGGAAATGAGGAGAGGAGAAGAAAATGGACTTGTCAGTTCACCTGATGCCTAGGCTAGGGCTGAGAGGAGATATGAACTATCTGGTGAGTCCCGGAGTCGGGCCATGTGGATTATGATGGGCCAGGTCTTCCTAGGGGAACCCCAGGTCCCTGGCTCTGCCTCCCAGTCCCTCCTCTCTTGGAGGCCTCCTTGTTCTGAAATGAAGGTGAGAAAGACCAGGATGTTTGGAGGAGGCCAACCGTCCAGGTGCTCCTGGGTCTGGTGGCTTCCTAGACACACGCCCTGTTGGGGAATGAAAGGTGGGAAAGCAGCCCAAAAAAGGGCTATGTGTTTCTCTCCACCTTTCCCTTAGAATTTTCAGAACATTCAGGCAAATATTTGAAGATAAACAAGCCTATGTCCACATCCCCTGAGAGTCCCCAATGCCTGGGACACACAAGTAAATGTGTTGACAACACCAGGTAAGAAAGTGCAGAAAACAGTCCACATTGAGGTGGGTCAGAGAATGATTCCCAGGGCCAGCAATGTTGGAGCTGGATATTGGAGGAGTAGCTGAAGTCTGGCCTGGGATGCACGAGGGGAGAGACAGGCAGGCACTGAGACCCAGGGCTCAGAGGGAGTGACCAGCCCATGTGCCAGCAACTGTTGGAAGTTCAGAGTGGGGGAAGGAGGGAGTGGAGGGTGTGGGGCTGGGGGCCTAAAAGCAAGCAGCCATCAGAAGGACTTGAAGGAAAAGAAAAGTGCCAGAAAGCCATTGAAATCCCTTTAAGCAGCAGAGTGACCATGTCCTCTTTGGAAAGGTTCCTCTGGTTGCTGTGGGGAATGGGTTAATGGAGACCAGTTCAGAGGCTGCTGCAATCAGGGAAAGACTGGGGGCAGGGATGAGAGTGGAGATGGGGAGGATAATGGATTTGAAACTATGACAGCAGTACAAGGGACAGGGTCTAGGTTTCCCATAATAATCACAACCACAATGACAATGACAAAAGTCATAGTGACGCACAATAGCTCTGGTTTTAGTTGGCCCTGGTGGAAATCTTCTCTCCCTACATTTTACTTGGAAAAAGTTAAAACCTCAGAGGCTTGTAAGACAGTTTCCACAGACATTGGTATACCTTTCACTCAGATTTACAAATTGTTACATTTTGCTTTTCCTTACTTGCTTGTATCATTTTTTTTCCTTAGCCACTTGGAAGTTGTTGCAGAAATCACTAATCACTTTGAATAAGGAGATTCTTTTATGTAATTGCCATGTCATGATCTTATTTAAAATATTTAATATTGATATACTAGAATTCAACATAAAGTCCAATTGGCCCAAATAATAAAAGCTACTTCTTTTCACTAAAGAGAGAGAGAGAGAGAGAGAGAGAGAGAGA